CGCGCGATCTTGACGCGTTAGCCGACGGCGCCGCGTCGAAACAGCCGTGGTCTGGCCGCGCGTCCAGGCGGGGTTCGACGGACACAGCGCAGATGGCAGAACTGCATTCTTCAGCGGACAAATCGCGAGCGCGCGGGCGAAGGGGGAGATGCTCGAGGGGGGCGGCAGTGGATGTGCGAGGTCGATGAATATTCCATGCTCCTTCTGCTATCGCGATCGGCGCGCGTATCCGCGCCCGCGCCCTCGCGATCTGCACTCCGTGGCGCGATCCCGCGGGCGCGCGGTCGCACGGGAACGCTCCGCGCGGGGCGCCCGCGAAAAAACGCCGCGCGTCCGCGGGGTCGCGGCCGGGGGCCTGGCCCGCGAGGCCGCGGATGTGTTTTTCGCCCATGATGATATCGCCCCCCCAAACTCGAGCGCATGCGGCCCTTGTCCCGGGCAGCCCCCCTGGGCCGCCGAAGCCTTTATTTTCGTGGTTCGTTCGTTCGTGGTTCGTCGTCCTCCCTGGCCACCTCGGGCCCTGGACCCCCCCCTCCCCGGAGCCTCCCAGAATCATCCGCTGGCCTGCCCCTGCTTCCCTGGGCCCTGGACCCCTCCTGCCCACGGGCCTCCCAGGGCAGCCCCCCTGGGCCGCCGAAGCCTTTATTTTCGTGGTTCGTTCGTTCGTGGTTCGTCGTCCTCCCTGGCCCTCTCGGGCCCTGGACCCCCCCCTCCCCCGGGCCTCCCAGGATCACCCGCTGGCCTGCCCCTGCTTCCCTGGGTCCTGAACCCCTCCTTCCCCCGAGCCTCCCAGGGCAGCCCCACTGGGCCGCCGAAGCCTTTATTTTCGTGGTTCGTTCGTTCGTGGCTCGTCGTCCTCCCTGGCCACCTCGGGCCCTGGACCCCCCCTCCCCCGGAGCCTCCCAGACTCACCCGCTGGCCTGCCCCTGCTTCCCGCGGCCCTCGACCCCTCCTTCCCCCGAGCCTCCCAGGGCTAACAGGGCGCGTGGGTTTGCCCGCGGCCGCATGGGAGACAGCACCGCGGACGTGAACACTTTGTGTCGGCGAGGGTGGGGCGCTCCTACTACTATTGATACTACTCTGGCGGTGCCGCTGCTCCGCGCACGCCGCTAGCTTGCGCAGCGACCGCGGACGTTATCCAATCGACCTGCAAATCTTCGCCGCGCTGCTCGTCAATCGCGCGGCCCCGAGATGCCCCAGGCCTGCGGCGTCCAACACCGCGGCGCCGCGGGCCTGTGCTTCCGGAGAACCTGCCAAGACGGCCCACGAGGGGCTCAAGACCGAGGGAACGAGGTCGAGCTTGAGACCGATTCGAGTTCAGACCGCGCGCTGAACACGCGTGGATCTTAACTCACCTTGATACTGTCCGAAGACGGCCCAAGGAGTCCCCAATAGCTCAAGAACGTCCCCAAGATGCTCCAAGAGGTCCCGAGAAGCCCCTAAGAGATCCAAGAGACCTCCTGCGAGGCTCGAAGGGGCGACACCAATTGAACAAACACACAGCGAATCCGTGATTTATGATCTGGAAGCCTTTCGGCTTGAGCTCGCCTCGGGAAATCTTTCTAGCGAGCCCCGAAAAGCCTCAAAAACGGCCCGAAACTGCCACAGTACAGCTCCCATATGGCGCCAAGACTACCCGAGAACCCTCCAAGACGGCCAACGAGGGCTCCATGACGGCCCCAAGACTGGGGGAAACAAAATCGAGATCAAGACCCACGCGACTTGTGCTGAACTGGCGTGGGTCTCATACTCAACCTCGTTCACGCTGCGCTGCCGCGCTGGGACGGTGGTGGGTTTTGCCACAGGAAGCTGCATACATCTTAGCGGTTGCACAAGCGCTGGTGGTCTCCAATGCCATTGTGGTCCAAGTCCATGGAAGCCACATGCCTGATAATCATACGCGTCAAGCGATGCACCAAGTCAGCCGTTCGCACGAAAGACAAAGGATCCATATAGGCCTCCTAGATGGGGTCCGAGGATCGCGCCGCATCGGCGATGCGTCGGCGATGCGGCGCGGTCCTTCGACCCCATCTACTCCGACCCCATCTGGCGGGGAGGATGCGGTAGGAGCGAGGGGGGGCGCGGACGACAAGGAAGAGGAGGAGGAAGATGAGGAGGAGGAGGATGAAGGAGGAGGAGGAGGAGGAGGAGGAGGAGGAAGATAGAGGAAGAGGAGGAGGAAGGAGGAGGAGGAGGAGGAGGAGGAGGAGGAGGAGGAGGAGGGAGGAGCAGGAGAAGGAAGAGGAGGAGGAGGAGGAGGAGGAGGAGGAGGAGGAGAAGGAGGAGGAGGAGGAGTGTCCTCAAGTCTCTCAGAATCCTCAATCTTGAATGCCTCGGACGCGGCCAAACCGAACCCTTTCGCGACGCGCCCCTCCGATCCAGGCCCCCCTCGGGCGAGGCGAGGCGCGGCGAGGCAAGCAAGGCGAGCAGGTCATCACCGGCGAGCGATTATTGGGAGGCAACTACTGGAAGGCCTTCGTCGGAAGGATTGCGGAGGATTAAGCCCGATTGGGGGGCTGCTAGGCCGGATTAGGCAGCGGATTAGGCGGGATGAAGCTGGATTAAGCCGGACTTCGGACCAGGGCAGAGCCAGAATGTTATCTCCCAGGAGTTGCATCCGAAGAGCGAGGCAAGCAACGCGAGCGGTCGGTTTTCTAGGGGTCGGTCGGACCACTCCCGAGCATTGCAGATGCTTCGTAGCACTGGACCCCCAGCTCACGGATCTCCTGGGCGCCTCCGCGCGGTCTCGGGGACGGTCGCGTGCCTTGTCCTAGTAGAGGCCTCCTAGATGGGGTCGCAGTAGATGGGATCGGAGGATCGCGCAGCATCGCCGATGCATCGTCGACGTCGGCGATGCATAGACGACGTCGGCGTGACGCAAATCGGGCTCCACATCGAGCCGCATCGCCGATGCATCGGCGATGCGGCGCGATCCCCCGACCCCGTCTACTCGGACCCCATCTGGGAGGCCCAGACCTGGGGCCTCGGGAGGAGGAGGAGGAAGGAGGAGGAGGAGGAGGAGGAGGAGGAGGAGGAGGAGGAGGAGGAGGAGGAGGAGGAGGAGGAGGAGGAGGAGGGAGGGAGGAGCAGGAGAAGGAAGAGGAGGAGGAGGAGGGAGAAGGGCCTCGGGAGCGTGGCTGCGGATCCACACTTCCGGCATGCCCGAGGACTGGTCCCAGGGGCTCGTCCCTGCGCCGCCCCGGAGGCTCCTGGGGGGGGTCGACCCCCGAAGCCCGAGTCGCTCCAACGCGACGACAAGGTGCATCCAAGGTTGTGGTTTTCCGCAGGGAGGCTCCCCAGAGGTCTGGACCCCTTCCCGGGGGCCAGCTCTCCACTCCCAGGTGCTTCGGTTGACGGCCCTCGGAGGATGCAACGAACCGATGCTCCTTTGAACTGCGGGCGCTGGCCTTTCTGCGTCCTCTCCCTCAGGAAGACGGTTATCGGGTTGGGAGGATGGGGTTGGGAGACATGAGGATATCATTGCCCGTAGGCGGTCGAAGGTATGGTGCATTGCATCCGAATGCTATAGCTCATACCCTTCATCCTCCCAACCCCTTCCTCCCAACACGATCACTGCTCTTCTCGCTTCCACTTGTCCGAAGTCTCTCTGCCGCTGCCCGAGTTCCGGAATGAGAAGGATCGGGGGTGGACGGAACCCCCTGTAGCAAGACATCCTTCAGTGCCACCGACTGGGACCACACCGGACGGGCGCATGCCCGCACAAACCAGTGGCCCCAACCCACTCTCGAGAAACGAGCCCCTGGGGGGGCAGAAATGCCGAGCTGGAATCGGCGACACATCGCTGATGGATCGGCGACAGACCCTGGACTGCGAATCCGCCATCTTTGGGGCGGGGTGGGCTGTCGGGCCCCTGTCGCTGATCAGTGGGCGCTAAGGGGGCCGATGCATCCCCCCCCAGAACCCGTCCCCTCCTGACGCTGCCCCTGCCTTGATTCCATCGGCCCCTGGTGAGAGGGGCGATCCCCAAGTGTGAAGGGGCCCTGGGACACACAAATAAATACACACAAATAAAACTATTCCCCATATTTCCCCATATTTCCTGGGTTTTTGTCTTCCCCCCCACTGCCCATATTTCCCCATATTTTCTGGGGAGTCGACGATCAATTGTGTCCGTGTGTTTCTTTTCCTCCTGAAAGTGCCCCGCCCCCTCGTGACATGCACCCGGGGCGGCGCCGCGGAAGCAGCCCGCGCGGGGCCTCGCCGGTGCCCTGCCACGCGGCCTCGAACTCGGACGCCTGGCGCTCGTCCTGTGCGGCGTCCTGCGCGCCCTGCGGCGGGCCCCGCCGCCGCCGGAAGGTGGCTCGAGCTGTCAACCACAGACCGGCCGTTCGGGACGACTCGGGCACCACAGCACGCCCTCGACGAGGCGCAGGTGGTAGAAACCATCTACGGGTTCGAGCACTTCACGGAAACCATGGGGTCGGCGAACTGAGCCGATCCCCCCTTGACGTTGCCCCTGAGGCGACTCCTCCTCCTCCTCCTCCTCCTCCTCCTCCTCCTCCACCTCCTCCTCCTCCACCTCCACCTCCGGTGCGTGGGCGCCCCAACTTCCCAGGCGGTGGGGCGCTGAAGCGTCTGCGTGCCGAGTCTCTTCGCCGAACTCCTTGGCTCCCTGGCCGGCCAAGCGACGTGCTGTATGCCTCGCGCCCCGTCGCGCCGTCCCGCCGCCGCCTCCGCCGCTGCGGCCCCGCATCTCCGACGACACGACGTGATGACATGTCAATCCCAATCCCAGTGCTTTTCCTCGCCTTCGCGTCTTCCCCGGAAGGCTGCCTCGGACCCAAAGGTCTCCGCCGGGAGCAAGGAAAAAGGACACGAGGAGTCCGGGCCAAGAGCCACGGCGGCTCCGGGCCGGAAGCAGAAACATGGGGAGGGCGGCAGAAACAACATCGAGGTCCTGCCGACACGACCTCCCAACCACGACCATCGGGGCCCTCCGTCGGCACAGTCGGGGCCCACAAATGTGGGCTGGCGTCGGGAGGCGCGGCGGGCGGCGCGGCGGCGGCCCAGCGGCGCGGCGGGCCTGGACCAGTGCGCATCTGGAGGAGGAGGAGGAGGAGGAGGAGGAGGAGGAGGAGGAGGAGGAGGAGGGGAGGAGGAGGAGGAGGAGGAGGAGAAGATGGAGAGGAGGAGGAGGAGGAGGAGGAGGAGGAGGAGGAGGAGGAAGAGGAGGAGGAGGACTGAGTGACGCGCCCTAGCACGGCGAGATCCCCGAACTAGACTAAGAATCGCATAGCCCGAAAATTCGTGCGACCCTGGCTGGACACGTACGTCAATTAGCGACCGGCTAAAACCCGCGAGGTTTTGGAATCACGGGTGACCTGAGGGCTGAACCTTGTCGTCCACCCTGCCTGGTCCCACCTGCTGAGCTATCCCAAGTTCTCTTGAGTTGGGTGAAAGGATGATGATGATGATGATGAGGAGGAGGAGGAGGAGGAGGAGGAGAGGAGGAGGAGGGGGAGGAGGGGGGAGGAGGAGGAGGAGGAGGAGGAGGAGGAGGAGGGGGAGGAAGGGGAGGGGGAGGGAGGAGGAGGAAGGGGGAGGAGGAGGAGGAGGCCGAAAATATAGAAAAACCTCCCGTCGTGTTCTTTTTTATCACGGCGCGACGGGGTCTCGGAAGGCGGCCCCGCGGCGCCCGTGCAGAACGCAGGAACGCCCCGCCGAGGACGGCGGCGCGCGCGGGCCGCGCCTCCTCGTCCCGCGTCGTCGTCGTCGTCGTCGTCGTCGTCGTCGTCGTCGTCGTCGTCGTCGTCGTCGTCGTCGTCGTGTGTCGTCGTCGTCGTCGTCGTCGTCGTCGTCGCCGTCGTCGCCGCCGGCGGCGGCGGCGGCGGCGGCGGCGCGCGCGGTCCGCGCCTCCTCCTCCCGCAGGCCCACCAGCTCCCCGGCCGCGCGCCGCAGCGCGTCAGCCACTCGCCCGGCGCTCCTGGAGGCGGTCCGCGCGGGCGCCCGCCGGAGGAGCCCCAGGCCGCCCAGAGCTCCGATCCCCGAGGCCCCCTCGCGTTGTGAAGCAGTAGCGATGTTTTTTTGCTGTTTTTGCTATTGTTGCTGCTGCTGCTGCTGCTGTTGCTGCTGCTGCTGCTGTTCTTTTCGGCCTCCAGAACCCCTTACCAAGCCTCGGGACCGTCAAAAAAACGACTTCAGGATGAAAAACTGGTCCCGGCGAAGAGGTCCAGACCTCTGGGGGTCGACGTTCTAAAAAATCACCACGTCGGGGGTCTGGGACCCCAGACCTCCTGCGACTCAGTCAACCCGTATAGTAAGGATGTGCGGTAAGGATGCAAGGGCCTTGGACGCCAATGCCGAGGCTCTTCGAGAGGGGCTGACCATCGAAAGTGGTTGAGGATGAGCCAAAGATGACCGAGGAGGCAAGAATGCAAGGGTACCCTTGGGAAGTGGATCGTCCTTACTACATATGCGGGTTGACTGTATTACTTGCTCAATACTGGCGTTTTCCCGCGACTTCGGGCGCCGGGGAGCCCATTCGGGGCCCCTGATCATCAGGCATTGAGCCGACGGGAGGTGTGGAAGCAGACCCAGACATGCGACGTCCTGATTTTTCAGGACGGCGTCCCTGGAAATCCCAACCCCTTCCCCGGGACCAGCTTTTCGTCCTGCATCGTTGTTTGACGGTCCCGAGGCCCGGGGAGGGCCCCCCCTTGGGGCCGAACACAGGCAAACACCTCGCGTCCTCATTTTTGCTACGACGCGATCGTGTCTGGGGACGCAGCCTTCGACGCCCTGGCCGTGGACGCGGTGCGAGGCGGCGGGGGCCGCGGAACGGCCCGTGGGTCGGCTGGGCAGCGCGCCTGGCGCGACGCGCTGTGCCCGCGGGGCCGGGGCCCAGCTAAAACGACGCGAAGACCGGGACAAAATCGGATCGGGATAACTCGAAATCTCTGAGAATCGGCGGGTTTGGAGGATGTATTGGGCGCCGCGGCCGCTCCAGAGCGTTCCGGAACACTCTGAGAGCGCTCCGGAACGCTCTGGAGCGATTTATCCCGATCCTAGCCCTGTTTTACCAGCCCCCTCTGCAGCAAATCTGGCGGGCACCGCTGCCGCCACTGCCACCTGCCTCGCCCAGGCCTCTGACGTCGGGAGGGAGGCAGGGCCCCCGGCAACCGGACGAGAACAGACGCAGGCGGGCAGGACCACGCAGAGAAAGAAGGGGAGGACGACGAGGGACCGAGAGGGTGAGTTCTTCACAAGGCACAAGGGGAACCCCCCAAAATCTGTACAGTAGGCCCTTTCCCCGGGGCTGTTTTTTCATCCAGGGTCGCCTTCTGACGGCCCCCGGGGCAGGGGAAGATGCCCCTTGGAGACCGTGAACTGTGGAAAATCAACCTGGGTCCGTGGAAAAGGTGGGGTCCCCAGACTTCCGGACGACCCAGGCAGGGCCAGCAAACACCTGTCAGGGACGGAACAATGACTACTGGGGAAGGAGTCGAGACCTCAAGGGGTCCGTGGGAAGATGCGGGGACGAGTGGTCCAGTTACGAGCGAGAAACATAGCCATGATGCACTCGCGGTCTGGATTGCGGGGCGCGATCCTGTCGATGCGTGATCGTGCGGATGCGTGCCGCGCGGGGCATCTGCGCAGCCCAGACCGGGAGGCCATGGATGAGGATCTGTTCCCACCCCCGATCGCAAAGTCCCAGCGTATTGGAAATACCAGAGCCTCAGAATCTTGGGTGGTTCCCCCCTCGTGCTCCTCCTGCCGCTGTCGCCGTGGACAGCTGTGTCAATGAGGACTGAACGCCTCGCAGCCCTCCATCCCGGCTTACAGCCGCTGGGGGGGGATAAGGACGAGCAGGCAAGAGGAGAAGAGCGGGGGGAGACCGGAAGACGAATGTAGAGGTCGCGAGGGAGGGCGCCTACCGGTCGGCAGAAGTAGGTAGAAACATGAAATAGAAAAGAGTTGAAAGTAGATTGGGTTCCGTTCGCCCCCTTCGGAGGACGGAAAAGGTGAAGGCACTCGAGCATTGAAGCAGGAGGGCGCTTGCCAAGTGTAGTGAAATCTGGGAATCCAGACATGCCAACTTTCAACGACCGATGGACAGGTGGGGCTGGTGCTGCCATCTGGGCGGCAAACGTCGGCCCTGGCCGCACTCTCACGAACCACCGCGGGGGCAGCGCCACAGGGGGGTACTCTGGGTGGGATATTAATCGTGGGGTGGGCGCAACCTTCCGACGGAGCTCGCCCATCCCCCTCCTCCTCCTCCTCCTCCTCCTCCTCCTCCTCCTCCTCCTCCTCCTCCAACCCCCCCCTCCACCCGTTCCGACAGCACGTGCCCAACTCCCCCAGCGAATCCAAGTGCCGCCATGCCGTTCTTCAGAAATGGCCCGGATTCCCAGCAGCTGATGTGCTGATGTGGGAGGCGCGGGACTGCGAGCGTGAACGGTATGCCCGGCCACAGGGCTCTTCACACATTATTCCCACTGGTTCCTCCACTACAGCGCAAGGCAAGCGAGCGGGCCATGTCCAAAAGTGACGCGCCCCGTATACCATTACACACACATCGCATCTTGAGACACCTCCTCGCCCTCCACAAATGCGATTATTGCCCCATCCAGAGTGAGTGAATGCTGGGATGGGCTCATACCTGGCCCAGCACACAGCTCCTGTGGTCCGCAACCGGCGCTCAGCGTGCCGCGGCGGCGGCGGCTCTGGCCACGCGCCGTGCCCTGCAAAAGAGCGGACGGCGTGCCGCTCCGCCCCCCAGGGCGGACAGCTGGGAACGGCTCGGGGCGTTGACGCATGGGGGCAGGATCGTGCCCGAGCTGCATGTGGCGCTCCAGGAAGGGCCCCTGCTTCGAGAGATCGAGGAGCTGACCTCATCGCCGTCGAGAGATCGAGGATCGAAGGGTCGAGGGATCGAGGCTCGATCGAGGATCGAGGACAGCCGGCGTCTCGAGAAAACCGAGACGGAGGCTCTTCCAAGTCTTCGGCCCCTCAGGGGCCCTTGACCCCGGGCCTCGGGGCCGCCGAAGAGAGAACGACTTTCGAGCGCCCGGGGGCCCATGTCTGGGAACACCAAAGCTACGCACTCTGGATGGGGCAATAATCGCACCCCCCTTGGGTCTGCTGGGGGGGTTGGGCGCGTGCTGTCGGAATGGGCGGAGGGGGGGTTGGAGGAAGAGGAGGAGGATCGGGCGGGGGAGGAGGATGGAGGGGGGCGGGATGGGGCAGGCTCAATCAGAAGGTGAATCACACCCCCCTTGATACATAATCCATCCAGAGTACCGATGCCGCCTTCCCCTGGACCTCTCCTGGGGTGCGCTCTGACCAGGATTTCGAGGCGAAGCCAGCGGTGGCGACGAGGGCCGCCCAGGAGGCCCAAAAAGGGAAAACGGCCGAAGGGTAGCGGTATGGCCACCCGCACTGGTGGCCCAAGGCGCACATAGGGGGCCGCAGCTCGCAGGGGTGGTTTTCTTAGTGCACGAGGGCTCCTCGGACCAGCTCCGCTCCCCCTCGACGCGACACCTGACAAAGGCACCTTTACCGCAACAGCAGACGACAGCCTTATTCGGTGAGCGAGTGGCCGACAAAAAAATGACATGATGTAACGTACGGATGAAGAGAGCTGGGGCCGCTACCAATCCGCCGACCCCGCCAGGGGCCATGGGGTACGAAACCTTGCCCGCTCCACTGCCGCATCCGCGCCCACGTCCTCCGATCCAGAGGGCCAAGGCCAGCAAGGGACGGGCCGGACCCTCCGAGCGTGGTTGGCGGGTCCGTCGCGAGGGAGCACGTGCCCACGAGCTGGCGGGCCGTCTCCCTTCGGGGAGACGTAAGACCGGGGTACGGGGGACTCGGAAATCCCCGACGAGGTCGTCAAAAAAATGACGAGGCCGAGCCTGCATTTTGACGAGGCCTCCCGCTGCAGACATCCCACAAAACTCCTCCTCGTCAAAATCCGAGTCGCGGTCGTCAAAAAATGATGGCGAACCCGAGTCCCGGCAAACCCGGGTCTTACGCTCCCCCGATCCCTGGACGATTTCTTTGGGGAGGCAGCTGCTTGAGCCAAGTGGTCGACGACCAGCGCAACACCAACGAGGACAAACGAACAAGCAGGCCATCCACAACGAGGACTACCGAACAAGCAGGCCATCCAGATCGTATCGAAGACAGGGCGGCTATTCAGGCCTGCGCGGAACATCGCCGCCAGCGCCACGGCACCGAGCCACACGTGGCCAGCAGCAAAGAGTTTGCATCCGCTTGGGATTAGCTGTTGCACGACACCCACCTGGTGCAGCCCCATCACCCGTCAGCAAACTGGTGGGCAACGTCCGCAGAGGCGTCCACGGGGTCGATGACGGAGCGTGTAACCGCGGACGCGCTGTACAACAGACGAGTCCGCGTCCACTCGGTGCCGGCTGCGGTGCTGGGCGATCATGTGTGGAGGCGCCACGTCCATGAGTTGATAACCCACGTTCCTGGAAGCGTCCACGGGGAGACAGCCGTCGAGCCACGTGACCGGCGATCACAGCAGCGCCAGCGAGGCCGCGCCCACAGAGGCTACGTCTACGAGCAGGCCAGCCATTTCTCAGGAGTCGACGAGGGGGCGGCTGTCGTCTTCGTGCCGCAGCGCTGCCAGCTTGAAGGCCCCGAGCAGCATGTGCACGCCTGGTAGCGATTCCACAACCTTCTGGCACGAGCCGCGGTGCACGACAATCTGCCTGGAGGAACTTAAAACAGGGCTAGGATCGGGATAAATCGCTCCAGAGCGTTCCCGAGCGCTCTCAGAGCGTTCCGGAACGCTCTGGAGCGGCCGCGGCGCCCCCGATTCTCAGAGCTTTCGAGTTATCCCGATCCGATTTTGTCCCGATCTTCGCGTCGTTTTGGAACTGTCCGTGAGCGCGCGGCCGCGATCGCGCAGAACCGGCTCGTGGAATGCTCATGGACGGGCCGTCGAGACACAAAGCC